GGGGGGGGGGGGGGGTGGGGGGGGGGGGGGGGGGGGTAGAAGGAAATCTAGACAAATGCACCATGCGATTCTAAAGATCCTGATAGGAAATTCGCGTGTCGCTATACAATAATTCTTGGCCTAATGACTTCCAGCGTGGTCTTACACGAGATGACGCAATATTTTCAAAAATTCCCGCTCTCGACTCCTCGAGTATTTTGTATATGTATAGTACTTGTATAGTAGCACGTTGCATGCTTCGTATCGTCCGAGACGATGGATTCTCCGCAATGCAGAATTTTTTGTTGGTGGATAAATAACGAGGTGCAAAAGGTAAAAAATAAGGAGAAAAAAGTTGTTGGTCGTTTGTCGAGCGACACGGCTTATTTTCCATGGATCCAAAAATAGAACGGGACGAGACACTTCCGTGATGGCAGGGCATTGACAGGGAATTATCGATCGGATTGTCATTAACATTAGAGACACCCGTTATACGTGCCACAAACGCCTTCGTGCCCTGCTGTGTGTGAAAATACGAATTTGTTGCGCGATTTAGAATTTATTGCGGGCGTCGAGAAAATTTGGCGATGGAGAAAAAAAAATTTTACGATATCCCAGAAATATCGGGTTTACATTTCGCGAATAAGCCGTAAGAGAGGTTACTTGAATTTTTTCGCGAATTTTGCTAGGTCTCCTTTTTGCCGGCAACATTTGACAGTCATTGGCGAGCGATATATTTTTTTACAACGCGTTTGGGGCTCGAGTTTTATTTTTATTATTTTTGTAACGTTATAAATTTATTATACGGTACGAAATATTATTTTTGCTTCATATGAGAGTATCGTATATTCTCTGCCGTATATTCGTAGGGTAGCTGGTAACGTGCACGTTAATTTTGTCTTGCGGGTTTTGCCGTTATTATTGTACACGGAATTAAAAATTGCGAGAGACGAAGTAATAATGGATCCCATTGTTCGAAATACGACCGCGGCGAATGATCAAAGCGGAGTGAATCACGTTGAGTAATTCGTGCGAGTTTCGGAAAGACAAAGGAGCCGTAAGGTGACGTAGGATTCCGTGGTTCTCTTGTTTGTAGATTTTGACTGGGACGGATATCAGAGTAATAAGAAAGTTGCTGGGAAATTCGTATTTCGTGAAACGGCGTCTCGAGATGTAGCAACCTTTGATCTTGTGGATGCTGGGCTTCGCTCGCTACGGAATACTCTGGTTTGCCGTTGCAATTTGGCAAAATTAGAATCGGACTTGAAGCAGACATTCCTTTATGTAATTACACTCGTGTATTAATTCCGTCCTTAACGTCTGTATCAGGTTAAAAAAAAAACCAAATTAAATATAGAGAATTAGATGAAAAAAATGAAAAATAATAAAAACCATCCCCATTTTCTCTCCAATTCGAAATCACCGACGCCATCTACGTATTGGTCGTAAAAGAAGTTTCTTTAGAAAATAATTTTTTTATTTTCCGCGGTCACAAAAAAAAATTGACGCGAGGCAAGGGCGATATAAGGAATGGTCGTTTCGTTGAAGATTAGCTCACGGATTAGCCACGTACCTGAATTTTACGACTTAGTCGCGAGTTTCTAACGCGTCGGGGTGATTTTGTTAAAAGAAAAAAAAAAAAAAAAAAAGGGTGAACCGTTGTAAAGTGTTCAGTGGGTGAGACCCTTTGCCAGTGGCGTCCGAGGTGAATTATCCCATGAATAACATAGCAAGATGGCCGAGACCTTGAAATTTCAAGGCGAACCAAGATCTATGCAAAATAAATCAAGCTACCCGTGACAGGGTGAAGCATCCCTCAGATTAAAGGAATTCAAACAACTGACTGTTGATCAAAAAATTAATATTGAATACATCTCTTGAGAAACATTAAGCCGTCTTAATATTATTACAATTGAATCATAAAAAATAGAAAAAAAAAACAATGTGGAGCCCAATTCACCCTTATACGGTATATATTAAATTTTCACCATGCAATATTTCCTTTCTACCAGTCATTTCAGTCAGGCTACGTTATTATCAGTGCTTCGGTATAGTACCAAACGTGACGTAACGGCCCTTATGAAAATTTAAGCTAAAAAAACGAATCGAATGAGTTTCGGTTATTTATGCATTTTTTTGTTGTCCTCGAATATCGAGTCTCGTCTTTATGCATCCTGATTTTCACGTGGCAGCTCGTTACGTAACATCACGCTACATGCTCTTCTCGCAACACTGTGAATTCCTATCGCCGACTGTTGACGTTGCACTCGGTTCGTTAGTCGACACGCGAATTGAATATCCCGAGACACGTATTGAATCTATAAAACTGCACGCAGAGTCGCGTTTACCGTTACGTCACGTGTATTCATATTTATTATCGTAACACACGTTGATTTTCCGTTTCAGGTTATACTCGTCAAATGGAACGAGCCGTACCAGAAGCTCGCGTCTTGCGACAGCTCCGGCGTGATATTCGTATGGATAAAATACGAGGGTCGGTGGAGCATAGAATTAATTAACGACCGAAACACACCCGTAACACATTTCTCATGGTCGCACGACGGAAGGATGGCGCTCATATGTTACAGGGTAAAATTACGATTATTTACAATAATTTGTGAAAAAAAAAAAATTTATCGGAAAAACATTTCTGGACCAGGTCCAGAGGATGCTGCGACGACGCTAGAAGAATTTCAACCACGTGCCGACCTTTTGATCCTGCATTACATTTTCAAAGAAAATGTAATATCCGTAACGCCTTCCTACCGCATCCTCCTCGCGTGGTCCATCTGAAATCTTTTTGTCTCTTGGGTCAATCTCGTATTTTCATCTTACGGTAATACCGCTACCATTCCTTCTACGGAAATACTCGTCGGGCTTAATTCTGACAGATTTCGACAATGCCATACGGTATACCTATATGTAACCGTATATTAGGGGTGTACTCGATGAACGCGAAATGGCTCTGATATAGAGTACTCGCAGTTGTCACTTCAGGGACGAGTACTGAGTATCGGTTGGCTGAGTGTAGAGAATGAGAGGAAGAGAGAGAGAGGAGAGAGAGAGGGTAGTACCAAATAATGAGCATTCGCATGAAGTTGAGGGTAAAATCATCCCTGGAACACGGACGACTCCTTGTACTCTCTTTCTGATCCCCCCTCCTGGGACTCATGCTGTATAGCTATATATACTTGTAATATAATACATAATCCTTATATACTTAACACCGCTTCTCTTCCATTGTCAAGCTTTCAAGGGTCTTCTCTGATTTCCTTGAATCCCTTATCATATATGTATATATACAAACACAGTATCCATTATCAAGGAATACAAATGACCTAAGAGTTTCGTGTTTCGAACTTCTTACTTTTTACTTGAATCGTCAACCCCTCTTCTTCATCCCTCAGGACGGTTTCGTACTGGTTGGCAGCGTTGCCGGGCAAAGATACTGGTCGTCGATGCTCAACGATCAAGCTACCATCACATGTGGCATTTGGACCCCGGATGATCAACAGGTAATGACTTTATTGAATTTCACCGAAAATCAATAGTAAGAAATATATTGATTTTTTTTTATAATCAGAATCTATGTAGAATCTGCTCACGTGTCAACCTTGACCATCAAGTAGATCGTATATCATAAATGAAATTCTAATAGGCTTTCGTAAGCCGGGTAATACCAGGCTATCGTCTTGTTACGGCGTAAAGTTATAATCAATCACCGTTGGTACGAGGGGCATTAAAGGTTGAAAGCTTTTTCAGTGGTAGGATCTTATTTTACGTTGCGTCATTCGTCGAAGGGTGAAACCCTTTGGATGTCTGACTGAAAGGGTTGGAATCTTAGTGACAACCTGATGGATATTCGATACCTCAATCATTTTTGGCCATTGCCAAGTATCGTTCGGCGAAAACAGGTCACCCGGTATTAAATAGTATCTTGTATCTTTAAAGCGTTAACCATCGTCCATCGAATCACCTAATTGTCGGTTGTTATCAGAGTTTCTGTGTGAGGGGTGGGGGGTGGGGGGTGCGAATGACCTGGGAGGGCTTTTAATTAGACAATGGTTTTTAATGCGAATTGCCAATTTGTCTTTTATATTAAAAACCGGTATGCGAATTATTTATGCGATTGATTGTACTGATGCTTTCGAATTGATTTTATTATTAATGTCAATAAAGGTATACTTCGGTACTACTGCTGGACAATTGATCGTTATGGATGTCCACGGTGCCATGGTGTCCGAGGTCCAGTTGGCAGCTGGTGTGACGTCGATGGCTTGGAGTGCTGAGAAATTTAAGATGGAGGAAGGTGACGATGACGTCAGTGGTAAACAATCGCAGCAAGGTACAGCTGATTTAATAAATGTATTTTACATTTTTTGCCACGTGTATTTTTAATAATTGGAAATCTCTATCCAACTGGACCAATTTATATTTTGGTCCTAGTGATTATTTATTCTGTGTATATATGTGTATATACAGTGGCACCAGTATCGTTACGTTTTACAGTCACGTGACTTTGCTATACAAAACTACTGTGCGTATACCACGCAGAGGCTGTAGACACGTAAATACCTCGTATCCATTCTGAGCGTTTGACGCAATTCGCACTAATTGATCTGAACCCGCTTAATTCAATGGCCATTAATTGCACGTTTCCAGACGATCGAAGTTACGTTCTGGCTGTTTGCCTCACCGACGGTAATATCGTGATGTTGCGGTCCTTCGACGACGTCTCACCAATCACCATAAGAACCAGTCTGAAGGCGCCCCTCCATGCTGAATGGAGCAATTCAAGAAAGCTCTTAGCAATAGCCGGCACCAGGGATTCCGATATCCTTCAGATGAATCCTCAAGAGTACACAAATCTTCTTAAATTCTATTCCGATACTGGGACTCTGGTATACACCACGGCCATTCCATATACCCAGGTAAGCTAAACTAAGTGAGAATATAGCGGTGGAATTTTTAAATAAAAATATGAAAATTTATAGTGTCCGGTGTCGGCTTTGACCTGGGGTCACAACGACAGGCGTCTTTTCGTCGCTACGGGGGCGCGAGTTCACGCTGCTTGGGTCTCCAGGTGAAATATTTGCTTGGTTCATATTTTGAAAATTCTGGATTTTGTAAGAACGGTGTAATTGATGTATATATATTTGTGCGACTTGCAGGAGGGTGGGTTCTCTTCAGCTACTGTCGAGGCTGGCTGTGAGGGCGGCGCTCACCAGGGAATCCAGCGTACAGCAGCTACCACTACCCCCAAGACTAAGGGCGTTGGTCGCGGCTCTCTTCGCCAGTACAATAAGGTGAGCCACGGGGGATATACCAATAACGGTCTTATAACTCCGTAAGACGAGGACCGTAAAACCGATCTTCCATTTAGTGTTTTTATGGATCGCAAAAGCTTCCACTGGAAATCACTGTATTCAGCCTTGATTCCCGTCATTTTCTTGCCGAGTTATGAAGTTTCTTCTATATGGTACTTTTTATGTATTTAGGTGCTGTGTACCTGAACCAAGGGAACTGAGGAGGTTCGTCTCGAGACCACCTCCTGGAGGTGGACGACTTCATTGCACGATGCTCAGGCATGCTGGTGAACCTGCCCCTTGCTATACCTTGTACTTAGAGTATTTGGGTGGTCTGGTGCCACTGTTGAAAGGTCGTAGGACCAGCAAGATTCGGCCGGAATTTGTTATATTTGATCCTCAGAGTCAGGACACTCTTCAAGTACCGGATTATATCACGCAGTGTCCTTCCTTTAGTGATGGTTCTGATACTGAGAGAGATACTGCGGATTTGTGTGGTTCTCCCAGGAACAGAAGGAAAAATAGAAGGAGAAGAGAAGAGAAATCTAACGAGGAAACTGATGATCTTGCTTATGTAGACACTTTGCCAGAGGTGAGACATATTTTGGATCTTTAGGTTGGAATTTAGATTTTTTTTTTATTTCTAGAGTATTTAGTAACGTGGATTTTCTTAGCACGCGAGACTGGTCGAGGTCACGTCTAATATTTGGGGCACAAAGTTCAAGATTCATGGTCTTGCTGACTCTGTTCCTGCTAATCTTGGACAAGTCACTTACAGGACATCGCTGTTACACTTACAGCCTAGACAAATGACTTTGGTGATGACGGAGTTACGGGATGATTTACCGGCAGGTACAGTCTCAAAAATATTTGCACTTACAATTAATACCAATTTTTGGATATGTAGGTAATTTATGAATTTTTTTTTTTTATAGGTCCAGATCCAACGTTCAATCCTAACCTTTTTTCGGAGGACGAGGAGGAGATCTTTCAGGAACCTCCCGGTACCTCCAGAGGTCCTCCGGAAACTCAGCCACCCCCAATCGCTCCGATGACTCCAAGAAATACACGGTTAAGTGGAAATCGACCGAAGTCTCAGATATCCAATCAATTTCTTGCTGCCGAAACGCTGTCGCCATCTTCGGCGCGCGCTGAAAATTACGAAGATGAATTTCCCTACGTGGATCTGCAGGAAGTGGTGAATTTCTGTGAAAGTCTTCGTGCCACTTCCGGAAACACGTACAGAACCCCACCGAGGCACAATGCGCCGAGATGTTGCGACGTACCGACATTGCAATCACCAAAGAATGCAGTGGCGCCAACGCAAACGCTGATAGCTACGTCCAATCCGAGCACCGATTACTCGGGTAACATCCAACGTGTGAAAACAGCCCTGGCCGATCAACAATCGAATATGGCGATCAAGAAAGATCTAGAGAACAATAAGATCAATCAGATCTCTGATGACAAGACTAATCTAACCGCAAGTCTAGGTCCAATCATTCCCACTTCCATTCAAAATTGTCAGGTTCCCAGTGGTGGAGGATTAAATTCTGGACCATGCTCTCAAAATTCAATTATGAACGGTTTGAACTCTACCAGCAGCTGTTCTCAATCTCAGACTGTATTTCTGAACGGCTTGAACACGAGCAGCGTCCAAAATCCGCATATCCAAACGACTCAAAACTCTTTGAACTCCAAGAACAATTTGAATATCGCGATAAACTTGACTATCATGAACACCACTAGCTTGAGTTCATCACAGACAAGTCCAATTCCAGTATATACAAAAAATAGTCTATCAAATGGACCAGGATCACCAACGTGTTCCCATCAGTTACCTGGAAACTCGAGTCAGTGTCATTCACCCCAGAGTAACGCGAGTGTTCCCAATCAATGCGTGCTGAAGCGTAAAGAGAGCAAGAGCCTGGGCTGCTGCGCAAAATCAAATTCGAATACAAATCAAATCGGCGCCTCGCCCGGTAAATCCGAAGAGTTACGTTACATAGACGAAGAGTCTAGTTCAGAGAGTAACATACAATTTCGTGGAGTTCACAGAACACCCACTGTAGTAAGTATCGGTCCATTGTGTCTGGCGGATCCTATAGTAAGAAGCTGTAGCGTGGGATATCTGGACCTCGTGGATGCTCAACTGGTACCGTGTGACGTTGCTCTAAGGATGCTACGAAAAGAGGCACCGAACAAAAGGCTCGTTTTGGTTTCACGAAAAACTAAGAAGAAACGAAAAAACAAAGCCCAGCAAGAGATGAGCCAACAGAGTGCAAAGCCACCGAGATTGAAGAACTGTGGCAAGTCCAGGAGTCTGGACTCCAGCGATATATTTCCCAGTACTGAGCAAATAGCGTCCGCGCCACAATTACCAGAACACGTCGAGGAGGTACCGGAAAATGGTACAGCGGATGCTGCGGAGTATAAGACCAACGATGCCATTGGCAGAGACCCCGTAGAAGCTTCGGTGAAGCTAAACGGATCAATGGCGGAGAAAAATGGGACGGACAGTAAAGAACCCACTGCTGAGAAACCAAATCGATTGGAGGCATGTCCCTCGTCCGCGAGGTAGGTACCATCTTGATAGATATATTTGCACAACCTTGAGACTTGTCAAGAGGATTGATTCGCTCTGAAGTCGATATTAAATTTCAAGGGGTTCCAGTCCAAGTGGCTCCTTAGCATCTTCTCTCGATGGTCTTGCTGCGCGACTTCGGGACTTTGATGAGAGTCACTCCTTGCCACCTCCGTCACCTCGTCCATCATCCAGGTAATCGTTGATGTCTAGTGTTCAATAAGTAGCATGTATTCTACGAGGCGACGAGGCGATGTCAATTAAAATAATCTCTTAAGGTTACCAAGAAGTTCCCCAAGTAGTCCAGCGCCGTCGAAGAAAGGTAAAAGGCCGGCGTCGGCGTCGCCCATTAGGAGAAGGCTACTTTCAAGTCCTTTGCTCAGTAGAAGGACTCGAAAAAGTCGGGGTGAAAGTTCGGACGACGAAGGAGCTATACAGGACGAGACCTCGAGGAGTTACCGTAACTTGGAAACATTTCAAAAGGCACAGCTACGTCAAAAGGTTTGACACTTGGGAATAGTTTAAAATTATAATCATTGTCAGAAGGAAATATTAAAATATCATTTGATGCTCGTGTCACTTGTAAGTATGTCAAAAAAATTTTTAATACCTAGTGATGAGCCTGAATCTTGTCACGTTTCAGTTGAAACAGAGAGGGGCGTGTATTTCGAACCAGAAACCGGAAGTTATCAGACGTGAATTAGTAATGCACAATAAGGCGCCAATGTGGAATGAATCCAGTCAAGTTTATCAACTTGACTTTGGCGGTCGAGTTACGCAAGAGAGCGCTAAGAATTTTCAAATTGAATTTCGAGGCAAACAGGTAACGCGATAAATTTTCTATCAGAATACCGATAGTACCTTACATGTAGTAAATATTAATCGATACAATTATCATATTCAGGTGATGCAATTTGGACGGATTGACGGAAATGCGTATACGTTGGACTTTCAATATCCCTTCAGCGCTTTGCAGGCATTTGCCGTTGCCCTGGCAAACGTTACGCAACGGCTCAAGTAACCATCACTCTCCAGTACTTCATTCGATATATGTACGGATTTGATTGCAATTGGTCATGCACTTGAATTAGTCGTTGTCAAAAATTGTTTCGTATTGCGTCACGTCTAGATCTCTGTATTTCTCTGAGCTTTATTCGCACGGCGTTACGTCATATTGATATTGAAACAAGGCACTGTACAAATATCCTATTGCATATGGTAATCATGATTACGTTATATAACATTCAGTAGGATCAATTAAATCAAGAGAAATGAGCTCGTTGATAAGGAAAATAAACTTTCGTTTTTTTTTCAGATCCGTACGGAATTTGGAATACGAGTATTAAAGATAATTTTTTATAAGGCTCCAATTTTTTTCTTTGAATTATTCACGAAGGCTGAACACGATAACTCCGCTGGAACTGATAGGGTAAACTGGAATGATACGGCAGAACCAGAATTGCAGTATTTAAATGAATAGATGCATCGCGCAAGAGTGGAAAATAAGTTTGAATTAAAAAAGTTTATCTTGACAGACTGGACTAGGGAATTACCGTGTGTTCAATTTGAATGAACGAATGTGTTAATGTAAGGTAAACGAGTATGTTCCATGGCGGATATTATATATACATTACATTAAAGGATTGGCAATAAGGGAAAGTAATTGCCGTAAATAAATGATCGTACGATTCCCTTAGCCAGTGATTTAAAATAATGAAAAAAAAAAGGGAGTCGTATCAGCAGTCGTAAATCGCTGACGCACCGTGTGACTGGTGACTCAAAAAAAATTCTTTGGCTCTTACGTTAAATGCTTTTGACTGTACCGTCCAAAACGTTTGGTTTATCCCAATTGTCAAGCGCTCATTTGTATAGTTTATACAGTAAACTAACGCGTTAGATTATAGTTAAATGCTGTTGAAAAGTGTCTCGTTTTTTTTTTTTCGATTTGCTGGATATTCGAATTTTATATATATTGGATCTACGTCCTATTTCGTCTTGACACGAGCCGATCCCGTTGTTCGATTAAATGGTTCTTGAAAGCGATGAGAAAGAAAATGTCCGGCCTGAATCATCGTTGAAATTTGCGCGACAGGTTACGCAAGATAAAGGCATAGGTATACTGTAAATGTATACAGCTACAGATGCATTCACTCAGATACACAGTAAATATATTTACACAGATAGTTATGAGAAATAAAAAAAAATATATTATTGCTCTACTAACGAGATATGCCTAAGCGATTGATAGATCCGTGTCAGGCCTATAAAAAATGATGCAACAACACTGAAAGTTTTTACGGGATCAAATTTTGAGTTTGGCTCGTTCGAGTGTGAAAAATTATGAAAGAATTGTAAATGTAGTGCACGACGAAGGAACGTATTTTTTTCTATGATATAGAAAGATTGTGAGATTTTATTGTAACAGGAATTTTTAATGATTATTAATGACTACGATACATTCAAAAATGACAATTTCGAGTGATCATTTATGAAACTTTTAATGTAACAAAAAGGCTCGTGGTTCGTATAATTTTTGAAAGTTTCCAAAATTTTTACGATCCTTCGTCGCGTTTCCTCCAGGGATTTTCTTAGGTTGGAAACACATGCTTTTTGATTAATCATTGATTAATCAAAAAATGATTAAGACTAATATCGCGCGTATATTCGAAGTTTGAATGTGTTTCCTGGCGAAAATTTTGAAATTTAAAAGAAACTAATTGTTACTGTTTAAGGATAAATGCATTCCTCGAACGGAACCATACTCTTTATTTGACGATAATAATGTATAAATATATATGCCAGATATTCGACACTAATAATCGGAATAATGATCGATAGATCGTGCGTTATTTAAATTTCTAAATAATCTATATTACGGATTAATGATTGTGTTGAGGCTGTAGTATGTATGTACTTAATTGTCGATGTTGAGTTTGAGTTTTGCACGATGTTGCACTGTAAGCCTTGAATCGCGAACTCCGGGATTATTCACATAATTAGTGGATTACATTTTTTAATTTAATTATTATTGCATTGACCCGTAGTAGAACGACAATCTTTTTTTTTAATAACAAAGAAGGAACGCATAAATCTTCAAGCTCGAATATGACTTGTACTATAAAGGATCCTGCAAAGTGAATATTGTTTAGACTTTTCTGTTTTTTTTTTTTTGAAAATTGTTAACGTCGCTGGGAATTGTGAATGAGATTTAAAAAAAATTATTTTTCATTGAATTTAATCAACTTTCCCGTTTCAAGTGTTGCATATACAAAGTAGATGTAAATAATATGAATTATTTATTTTAAGGAAGAATGCAGGATCCACCGTGAGTTCGCGTCTTCATTGTGATATAACTATATTTCCAATAAATTGTTACGAATAATTTTAACGATGAATGCCGAGCAAAAGGGGCTTAAGTCACGCCTCTAGAAAGTGGCGAAATGTTGGCCTGAAAGTATCATACGCCTCAGGTAGTGAATTCCAGTTTTAATTGTTGTTCCCATTAGGGTAAGCGAATATAAAATATTTTCAATTTGAAACATAAACATTATAGCATTTCTGGATTTTCGTGGGAGATGCTCCACGATGAAATGTGCAAATTGATAAATGAAATAATGGAGCACAGATTCGTTAGAAAAAGAAACAAAATGATATAAAATTGCAATAGTAACGTAATAGTGTGAATGCCTTATAATAGTTTGCATTAATTAATGAGGCTCGTGACTGAGTTCCGAGATGTTCGGCCTAGCTCAAGATACATAGGTCTACGTTAATTAGTTGCTCGTATTTCTTTTTTTTTTTCAGTTGGTACCTTCGTATTTTATAAATGTAATACTAAGGCTATGCTTGACGAATGGAAAAAACGGCGGCTACATTATATGTGAACATTAATGACTGAGTATATGTTACGATACTACGATTACGCAGTATCTCAATTGAATCAGTATTGTTTTTATTACGTGGAGGCATTGTTGATTAATTTTCGCCACAGCGCAAAACGATTATTCTGTATATGTGCAATGAAATTTTGTTACCGAGTACATTAACGATTACGAAATATTTGTAAATAAACAAAAAATGAAGACTCGAAAAATAAGTATTACAAGTTATAACCTTTTTATAATTTAGAGTTCCAAGAATGCTTCCTTTCTGATCTGCCCGTGAAGATTATGCTACTTCGATTTATTTAAGATATAGAATAGAAAATGCAATTTTAGGGGCTAATTTATTTTCCAGGCTCTTTAACAGAATTTTCCGGAACTACAAGGGTGCAGTAAGTATACGGTCTGTCAAATTTTGCAGCTCCCACTACTTCCAAGTGTTCTTCGTCGTGGTTCTTTATTTTTAAATGATAATACATAAACACATTATTTATTTCAATACTTATATAATCGATTTTTTCATATTTTAATTGTTGTTTGATCTATTGACAAAATTTTACAAATGTAATATTGTATTTACTAAATTTAAGTTTAATTAATTTCTACCATTTAAGGAGATTTTCATTTGGCCTCAAGTTTATATTGTGAATAAATTTGGAAAGTAGTTCATCCGTTTTCGTGCTGACGTTGAGTAACTGTCACTGACAATTTCTTCTGCATTGATGATTCCTTTCATCTTCTTCTGCAGGCTTATCCAGTCAATCCTCAATGGACGAACTTGGGAAAATTGCGCTACGAGTGAAGAGAAATGACATTAATAATTATGATCCAAGAAACGAGTCACTTCCAATCAGAGATGAGCAGGGAGATGCACAACGCCACGGTTTCAGGCGATACCAAAATCATGCCGCTAGATCGTAGCGGCGAGTCTGGAAGTAGAATTTTCTGATCATCGCCTCCGTCGACAATGTGAATCCCGTCGTAGCCGAGCTAAACGTGAACACGAACGTGTAGCTTGGCGGGCAGAGGTTCTCCGCTACTCACCGCTGGTTCCCAAAGCAACTCTTAGAACGAGACCGGGAACTATAGACCTCAAGAATTATTGAGGAAGCCTATTGTTGAAATATTTTTAAGACATTTTTAAGAAAGTGCCAACTTGACACGCGTGTAGTACCTCAATTTTTGCTAAATATTATTTGATCTTGATTTACTTTCAAAATTTATTCAAAATATAGAACTGAGGCTAAATCAAAATCTCGCAGAATATACGAAGTAGATACAATTTGAATTGAAAATGTAGAAAATTGAAAATAAATTACATTCAAATTGAAATATTAATAAATTAAGTGTTTGTAACATTAAAATAATTAATTAAATCAATAATATGCAGTAATCAGTACTCAGTAATCGGAAATTCAGGCCAAGCATATTTAGAAGTACTGGAAGTTGCCCAAAATTGTGTGCGCGCAAATTCGACGCGCAGGACTCGTCGAGCCGGAGCAGGCGGATGGTGGGGGGAGCGATCGAGCCAGTGCCCGGACTCGGAGCGCTCATTCTTCCTCGAGCCGGTCTCCTATACTGGTCTCTTGGAATCATTTCGAACCTTTTCCTATTTTTATATTTATTTCTTCTTTACTTCCTTATTTCTTTATCTTTCATTTGTTACTTTCTTATTTATTTCTTTCCTCATTTCGTCTCCACTTTTATAACTCTATTCCTTACTTTTCTACTTCTTCATTTCTTCATTTCTATATTCATTTCTTTCTTATAATCTTATTTTCACTTCTTTATTTCTATATCCATTTGCAACCTTATTCTTCTTCTATATTTATTTCCTCATTAATTCCTTATTTCTTTATCTTTCATTCTTCACTTTCTTATTTTCACATACATCATTTCTTTATTTCTATATCCATTTACAACCTTCTTCTTCTTCTATATTTATTTCTTCTTTACTTCCTTATTTCTTTATCTTTCATTTGTTACTTTCTTATTTATTTCTTTCCTCATTTCGTCTCCACTTTTATAACTCTATTCCTTACTTTTCTACTTCTTCATTTCTTCATTTCTATATTCATTTCTTTCTTATAATCTTATTTTCACTTCTTTATTTCTATATCCATTTGCAACCTTATTCTTCTTCTATATTTATTTCCTCATTAATTCCTTATTTCTTTATCTTTCATTCTTCACTTTCTTATTTTCACATACATCATTTCTTTATTTCTATATCCATTTACAACCTTCTTCTTCTTCTATATTTATTTCTTCTTTACTTCCTTATTTCTTTATCTTTCATTTGTTACTTTCTTATTTATTTCTTTCCTCATTTCGTCTCCACTTTTATAACTCTATTCCTTACTTTTCTACTTCTTCATTTCTTCATTTCTATATTCATTTCTTTCTTATAATCTTATTTTCACTTCTTTATTTCTATATCCATTTGCAACCTTATTCTTCTTCTATATTTATTTCCTCATTAATTCCTTATTTCTTTATCTTTCATTCTTCACTTTCTTATTTTCACATACATCATTTCTTTATTTCTATATCCATTTACAACCTTCTTCTTCTTCTATATTTATTTCTTCTTTACTTCCTTATTTCTTTATCTTTCATTTGTTACTTTCTTATTTATTTCTTTCCTCATTTCGTCTCCACTTTTATAACTCTATTCCTTACTTTTCTACTTCTTCATTTCTTCATTTCTATATTCATTTCTTTCTTATAATCTTATTTTCACTTCTTTATTTCTATATCCATTTGCAACCTTATTCTTCTTCTATATTTATTTCCTCATTAATTCCTTATTTCTTTATCTTTCATTCTTCACTTTCTTATTTTCACATACATCATTTCTTTATTTCTATATCCATTTACAACCTTCTTCTTCTTCTATATTTATTTCTTCTTTACTTCCTTATTTCTTTATCTTTCATTTGTTACTTTCTTATTTATTTCTTTCCTCATTTCGTCTCCACTTTTATAACTCTATTCCTTACTTTTCTACTTCTTCATTTCTTCATTTCTATATTCATTTCTTTCTTATAATCTTATTTTCACTTCTTTATTTCTATATCCATTTGCAACCTTATTCTTCTTCTATATTTATTTCCTCATTAATTCCTTATTTCTTTATCTTTCATTCTTCACTTTCTTATTTTCACATACATCATTTCTTTATTTCTATATCCATTTACAACCTTCTTCTTCTTCTATATTTATTTCTTCTTTACTTCCTTATTTCTTTATCTTTCATTTGTTACTTTCTTATTTATTTCTTTCCTCATTTCGTCTCCACTTTTATAACTCTATTCCTTACTTTTCTACTTCTTCATTTCTTCATTTCTATATTCATTTCTTTCTTATAATCTTATTTTCACTTCTTTATTTCTATATCCATTTGCAACCTTATTCTTCTTCTATATTTATTTCCTCATTAATTCCTTATTTCTTTATCTTTCATTCTTCACTTTCTTATTTTCACATACGCCGATAAGAGGGCAGCTCCTCCTGGGCATGATATGTGGCGCCATCTCTGAGAGAACGAGTGAACTTTCTCGATAAAATAATTCCGAATTCAATTTAAATATCCCATCGTCGAAATTCAATGAGTAAATCTTATTAAAGAATTCGCATTAGTTCGAATTTTTGCCGATAAGAGGGCAGCACCTCCTGGGCATGATATGTGGCGCCATCTCTGAGAGAACGAGTGAACTTTCTCGATAAAATAATTCCGAATTCAATTTAAATATCCCATCGTCGAAATTCAATGAGTAAATCTTATTAAAGAATTCGCATTAGTTCGAATTTTTGCCGATAAGAGGGCAGCACCTCCTGGGCATGATATGTGGCGCCATCTCTGAGAGAACGAGTGAACTTTCTCGATAAAATAATTCCGAATTCAATTTAAATATCCCATCGTCGAAATTCAATGAGTAAATCTTATTAAAGAATTCGCATTAGTTCGAATTTTTGCCGATAAGAGGGCAGCACCTCCTGGGCATGATATGTGGCGCCATCTCTGAGAGAACGAGTGAACTTTCTCGATAAAATAATTCCGAATTCAATTTAAATATCCCATCGTCGAAATTCAATTGAGTAAATCTTATTAAAGAATTCGCATTAGTTCGAATTTTCGCCGATAAGAGGGCAGCACCTCCTGGGCATGATATGTGGCGCCATCTCTGAGAGAAAGAGTGAACTTTCTCCGACAAAATAATTCCAAATTCAATTTAAAAATCCCATCGTCGAAATTTCAATGAGTAAATCTTATTAAAGAATTCGCATTAGTTCGAATTTTTGCCGATAAGAGGGCAGCACCTCCTGGGCATGATATGTGGCGCCATCTCTGAGAGAAAGAGTGAACTTTCTCCGACAAAATAATTCCAAATTCAATTTAAAAATCCCATCGTCGAAATTTCAATGAGTAAATTTTATTAAAGAATTCGCATTAGTTCGAATTTTTGCCGATAAGAGGGCAGCACCTCCTGGGCATGATATGTGGCGCCATCTCTGAGAGAACGAGTGAACTTTCTCGAATAAAATAATTCCGAAACTAATTCGAAAATCAGCTGTATCTCGGAAGAGATTGGTACAGATCAAGTTGCTATAGGGCACTTTCAAAAAATCCCTTTACTTTTGCAACTTACTTTTGCAGCATAAGGATGGAGGAGAAGGAAAAGTATACTGTTATAATGGAGGAGAGTCAGAGAGAGGCAGAACTCACTCGTACTCTGGGATATTCGCATAGGGCAAAAGAATATCAACGTGTATAAGTGTTACAAGATAATTTATTGGACAAATGCAATAATGATACAGTATACAGATATACATTACAAGTACAGATGTACATTTATAGTCCGCGAAAGAGTAATAATATCAATGAGATTATAAATATATTAAAATATATCACTAAAATATAATATACGTGTGGTATGTTACATGCGCTACCACTTTGGACTTTTCTTTTTCCAAAAGACATTTTAAAAACTTAGTTTTAAGGATTTATACTAGGAGGAGAGTGATGGAGATATAGGAAGGAACAGGAGATTCGAAAAGTGTATAAGTGTTGCAAGATAATTTATT